TGGAAATCAAAAAGAACCTAACCGGGAACTGAAAAAGCAGGACAGAGCTTGTTTATCCTTTTCCAATCTCTGTAGAGAACTTGGGTGTGAGAGAATCAGATCTACTGGTTCCAAAGGCTTGAAGGACATGTTGACCAGAAACAATCACTTCAGTTCACTAACTTGTTCACCAAATCAGTTGTAAACACAAAGTTTTCTTTTACATTTCCAGGATATTTGAGGTCATTTTACTGAATTAAAAATCAGTCTAAAAATGTTTTGTGCCTTTTTAAATTGCATTCCAATTTCCATCAAAATAGATCACAACAAATCTAGTAAATAAATGTATCATTCCCAATTTCTTTGCACAATAAAACACACAATATAATGGCTTAAATAAAAAATGTAGAGATCTACTGTATCCTCCTGAACAGTAAAAAGTATCACCAAGTTTAGCATAAAGCTTATATTCAGTTACATAACATAGGAACGGCCACACTGGGTCACACCAAACGTCCATCTAGCCCAGTGTCCTGTCTACCGACAGTGGCCAGTGCCAGGTGCCCCAGAGGGAATGAACAGAACAAGGAATCAAGTGATCCAGCCCCTGTCGCCCATTCCCAGCTGCTGGCAAACAGAGGAGAGGGCCACCATCCCTGCCCATCCTGGCTAATAGCCATGGATAGACCTATCCTCCAGGAACTTATCTAGTTCTTTTTTCAGTCTTGGCCTTCGCAACATCCTCTGGCAAGGAGTTCCACAGGTTGACTGTGTTGTGTGGAAAAAAAAAATACTTCCTTTTATTTGTTTTAAATCAGCTGCCTATTCATTTCATTTGGTGACCCCTAGTTCTTGTGTTATGAGAAGGAGTAAATAACACTTCCTTATTTACCTTCTTAACACCAGTCATGATTTTATAGACCTCAATCGTATCCCCTCTTAGCCGTCTCTTTTCCAAGCTGGAAAGTCCCCGTCTTATTAATCTCCCCTCATATGGCAGCTGTTCCATACCCCTAATCATTTTTGTTGCCCTTTTCTGAACCTATTCCAATTCCAAGATATCTTGTTTGAGTTGGGGCAACCACATCTGCACACAGTATTCAAAATGTGGATGTACCATGGATTTATACAGCGGCAATGTGATATTTCTGTCTGATTATCCCTTTCTTAATGATTCCCAACACCCTCTTAGCTTTTTTGCAAATCAAGCTGTTTTAATGGTTCTCAACTAACAAGAATGTCCCTTTGTAGGAAAAGAACTAAATACAATGGCAAAACAGGATTTCAATCCAGATTTTCTGCTTGCTGACTGAAATCAATCCACCGTGATGGCCACAAATCCACCTCCTGTGGGTATCACAGGAGCCAACCCACCACCCAAGGGATCTACTGTGGAACTCATGTGGGGCTGGGGGGAGGTGGAAGCGGAGAGGTGAGCAAGACCCTTTGCTCACACCCTGTCAGACACACCCATCAGGAAGCTGAAGCGGAGACGGGGATTCACGTGGAAGGGGAGAGGTGCCCCTGGAAGCCCCTGCAGCCATAGTGCGGGGACCCCAGCAGCTGCCCACTGGATGTCAGACCCATGCTGTCCCAGGAGCAGCTAAGCCCAGTGAGGACCTGTACCCCCACCCAGCCAAGGGCATCTCGGGGAGTTGGGGCAGGCAGCCGTCAGACATGCTTTGGCTTGTCCACACAAGGTCATCGCCATGGTCGATCCGCCGGGGAAAGAGAGTCATCACGCAGCTGCCCTTGCTGCTCCCCGGCTGGGTGGAACACGGGCTGTCCTGTCACCTCCACGTATCCCCACCACCCCCAGGGTCCCACTCTGCTCACTTGGTGATGCTGCTGCTGCTGCTCCCGCTGGTCCCTCCACTGCTGCCCCCTGCCTTTTTGGCCTTCTTCAGCTGGGCCTGGCGTGCCCGCGCCTCCTCATCGCCTCCCCGGCCCTTGTGCTTCTCCGATTTCTTCTTCTTTTTCTTCTCCTTCCTTTCCCGCTTCTTTTTGGGCTTGGAGACCGGGCCCTGCGACAGGGCAGCCAGCTGCTCATGCACTGCCCGCAGCTGGGGGGAGAGAGACACCGGTGAGAGGGGACCCTGAGATCCGTGAATTCTCACCAGCTGCAGCTGGAGAGGGATGACAGGGAGCAGAGGAAGGGAGCTCAGCGCTAACCCAGAGACAAGGCCCCCGTGCAAGGTGGCCAGGATATAGCCAGGGAACTCAGGGAAGATAGCGACCTGCCTGTGGCCAAGAGGGAGACGGAAACGAGAGACAGCAAGGAAGACAACTAGGGGCAGAGGGAACTAACTGCTAACTATGGGACAAGAGGCAGTCCCAGAGGCAGGGAGACAGCACCCCACGGAGAAGCTAAGTGCTGAGGTGTGACGTTGTGCAGTCTATATGGTTTTATAAAAATATAAGTGAATATAATGTAACTGGGATATGCTTCATGCAAAAGGTCTCTTGTAAGGTATCATTACAAAGCTCAATCTACTGAATGTGATCATCCTATTTGTAGAAATGTACCACTCTTGTATCTAAAACTAGAAATATAAAACATAACTCTGAGGGCCTATTGTAATTATGTCAAGTGTGGGCC